TGTCATGAGACAAAAGAGTTAAAAAAAAGAAAGAATGGTGTTTGTATTGAAAGAAAGAATGTTGTTTGTATTGCATATAAAAAGATAGAATGTTATTTAGATTGAAAGAAAGAAGAAAGAAAGAATGAATGAAAGAAAGAAAAAATTTAGCATACTATTGAAAGAAAGAAAAAATGAAATAAAGACATTGTCATGAGACAAAAGAGTTAAAAAAAAGAAAGAATGGTGTTTGTATTAAAAGAAAGAACATTAATTTTTGTTCTATGAAAACTCAATGATTATAATATTGTTTAATAATCAAAAGCAGTGCTTTTTTCTTGACTTAACACTCATTCAGTGGTTCCTTGATCAGTGGATATGTGATAAAATCTATGAAAAAGAATATGACTGCATCAAAGATCTTGTCTAAACTTTAGCATATAAATTTCAGTATTATTTTGTATTGATAAGCAGGTTTTTCTGATCATGGCTCAATGCTATTTCAAAGGAATATTATTGCAAATGCAATCATTATTTTCTCTCTGGGCCTTGGTCAACATATTTCTAACATGACAACCTTTCATTTTCTTCAGATGACATGTTTTATCAAATCTCTGGACTACAAACTTCTTTACATCATCTATCATGGAAATGATTAGTAAATACTAAACACTTCAGGGAACGAATCAGTTATAACAAACTTAGTTTTAGGAGATAAGGAAGTTGAACATAGAACATATTATGTTAGGGGTAGTTTTATGCAACATCATAAATTGCTACAAAACCAAAATGCTAAACTAAAATCTTGAATCATCTTCTTAAATTGACTTGTCAGATTAATACTTTCTTATGGATGTCATGCATTGCCTAAAATGTGATCAGAAATGTCTAAACTGTCAGCTGTACACAACCACTTTCTCAGATCAATGGTTAAAAATTGCTTTAAGCAAATTGATGAAACTGTTGTTTTTGTTACTTTTGTAGCGCCAACAATTTGAATCATGATAGCTTTTATTTCTTCCATTTTTCTGTATTTCAATGAGTATTTTCCAGATTCATTTTTGAATAATTTTGCCTGGTTATTTCTCTGTAGTCCTGCAAATATAACGTCTTTGTTGAAGTGGTAAATATTACTGAATATCCTATTACAATGTATAGGATACGTATATTTTGTTTTTCCTCAGGTAAGTTCAACAAATACTCATCGCCACATTTGTAATACCTGTTTGTAGGAGAGACTTTGTAAATCACAGGTACAATAATAGTAACACCTTCAAACAATACTTGGTCAGATGCCGCTAATTCCCATATATATATTTTTCCTTTACCTGTCACGTGATCTAATTATTTCAAGATGAGGTCGACTATGCTTGCTCTCTGGCAATCTGTGTTCAAACCCAAGTGTTGGCAGCAACACTTTATTGATTGACACAAATATGACACAAATGAAACCTGAAGGCCCTTTGAGGACCATACTTATTTTAAACTTGTGAACTGGAGATATAGAACCACAAATTATACTAGATAACAGAAACCACATCACATGAGGACCAACAGCAATAGTTAAAATGGATAGCACATGTAACTTGAAAAGAGAGTAATGACATAATGAAGATATTAAAATTCCACATTACTTCAAAAAAAAGTTTAGGAAGAAAGTGTTATCAATATTGGAAGGAGCAATAACAGTTAATGGACTTACAAAACCTATTTTCCTGATTTTTTAAATTTGAACTCAAAGTAGCACTGTCTTCTCAGTCAATGAATGCCAAATGTTTTTGTTATATAGGAATTAAGTGTCACTGCCGACACTGGAGTTTGAACACAGATCACCAGAGAGCAAACACAGGCGATCCCATTTTGAATAAGTAGATCACGTGATGGTAAAGGAAATGTATATCATGTGATGGTAAAGGAAATGTATATATGGCGTCTAAGTGACCACTATATGGATTACTATTTGGATCACTATATGGTGGTTACTTTTTGAATGAGTATTATTGAGCAAGTACTATTAGTGCAAGTGTTATTCAAAGGCGTTTGACACCAGTATTTTTCAACGGCATTACTATAGTTGTATCTGCAATTACAAAGTCTCTACTACAATGAGCATTACGAAATTGATAACGAGTATTTGTTGACATATAAATGATACTGTGGTGAAGGCAACCATAGTTGTCTCGACCTTAAACTATTCTACTATAAAAAGCAGTTGAACTACACTTCAGTACCATCGGTTGAATTGCTTTGAATAAAGCCTCATTACAAGCTTAAAGGTTTGTCTGTCTTCTTTATAGGTATTTTATTCATTTTATACTTTAGATTTACTTGAATAGGTGAAGGGAAAACTGAATTCATTGTAAATATCTCATTTTTTTTAACATAAATAAAACTGGAGTTCTGGAATAGTAAAAGAGACATTCCAAAAGTTTCTTTTGTTTCTCAGCACCTTGCTTGGTAGTGAGAAAGAAAAGAAATTTATTAGAAACCAAGAAAAGTATGCTGGGTTGGTATTTGATAGCCATCCTCTTATAAGACAGTGAATGTTGGACAATTGGAAAAGGATGTGGAAAAAAAAAATAGAAAACAGCAGAAATGTGATTCTACAGAAGGATACTGAGAATTCCATGGACAGAGCAAGTAAGCAATGAGGAAGTCTTAAAGTAAATAGCAATGGAAAGAATACTTATACTCAGAATCAGGAAAAGAAATTTCTTGGACACATAATGAGGAAAGAGGTCTTGGAAAAATTAACACTCATGGAGCAGTGAGCCACCTACCTGATGAGATTTGTCTGAATGGTTGGCGGCGGCCTTTGCAAAGTGAGATAAACTGCAAAAAGCTACATGAGATAGAAAGTTGTTGATAGCCATGTACATGGCATATAGAGGATTCACTTGTATGAACGTCTTAGCTAAACTTGTCAAACTGTACTTGAGCTACGGTGTACGTGCAAAAATATGTTGAGATTTACTTTCTATACCTAGATGAGTTAGTGTAAAATTAAATGAAGAAAAAAAAAATACAGTTTTGGTTATGCGCAATAACAAATTAAAAGGGAATCAAAAATCAAAAGTCTAATAATAGAACTTTACCAAACTCTTTGTTTTGAAGATTGGCTATTGTTTTGCATTGAAGTAAAATTGGTAGAAAGAATAGATGCTGGTATTCTGTTAGTCTCCAGCAATTCCCCAGCAAATGAGAAAAAAACAAAATTAAACAGAGTTAAAGAATATACATTAACCTAAAAACAAATAAGACCAAAAAATAAAAATAAAACCAAACAACAAAAAAAAAAAGACCCCACCCGCCAACAACTAACCAAAAATGGAAATATAATCAAAATAAAAAAAAAGACAAACTAAGATGCCAGTTCCTGTTTATGCCACAATGTTGGTTCATTAGTCTGGAGTCTTTTGTTCCTTGTGATGCCCGCGAAAGTTGAATACTATGCAATCCAACAAATAAATGTTTGTTCAATGCATTTCTAATTCAAAAAGAATATAACTCATTCAAAGGTTTCCTCATAGAAAAACAAAACAAGTTTTATGCCAACTAAAATCAAAGTATTGCAAAGATTTTGATGTTGAATGAAATTAAATTCTTTGTATTTCTTTTGATTAACCGATGCTAAATTTAGAACATTTTTGGCTTTATTTGATCAACTTAATATGACACTTAAATTTGGGCTGGAAATTCTATGACATCATTGGCAAATTTGGATCTTCATGACAGAAAAAAAAATGTTATATCAAATGAATGGTTATTTCAAAGACACCACTATTATATTGACTACCTTCACTCCTCAACAGTATTTATTGTTTTATAAAGTGATCATTAGAATTTTAATAAAACCTAAACATATGAGAGTGAATATATACATTTTCTTTTTTCTTGAGAATTGTTAACACTAAAACCATTATTATCCCCCACCCAAAATTCTTATAATCTAAAAATATTTTCTGGCTTTAAATAACCTGCAAAGAGTTGAAGGGCCATAAAAAACAAATCAATCAATCATGAGACCTAGCTGCCAATCTAGTACTGCATTTAAATTTGTAAAGTCAAGGTACCAAAGAGAAAATCTCATCTGAACAATTGCCATGAAGATATTTTATTTGAGGGTTGATAAGCCATAGAAAATGAATCAGTCAATCATGTAAAATGATGAGACCTAGCTGCCAATCTAGTGCTTCACTTAAATTTGTAGTCAAGGTACCCAAGAGGAAAGCTCATCGGAACAATTACTATGAAGATATTTTATTTGAGGGTTGATAAGCTGCAGAAAACAAATAACTCGATCGATAAGAAGTCACTTTGACAAATTAACCATGGTGAGAATTGACTAGACAGAACTACTAATTTCTAAATCTTTCACTGTACAGATTTATTCCAAGAAATTCCAAAGGTCATATTAATACTATTTATAAAATGATATGACTCTGAATGTTAATAGAAACATCAATACGAATTCCAACTGTGATACGTGACATGCACGAATTGTTGCTTTTCAAATTGAGAAATGAGAATAGAAACCAGGAAAAAAAATCTTTTTCAAATCCTTTATCAAATAAAATTTCTTTAATCAAAATCAGGAACAAAATATCATTTATTTTTGCCTTCCAAATAAATCAATTAAAACCAATGAAATACATTGCCAGAGAATCTTCTTTTGCTTCACAGGAACAAATTATTAAAAAAAAAAAAATCCCCAAAAACAAGTAACAATGGAAATGCTGACAAAATCATATTAAAGCTCTTTATTATCTACATGCTTTTTTTAAATGTCATTTATTGTGTACTTTGTCATTTCTTTCTTTATTTTTATTTTGGTTATTATTATCTACTTTTAAGTACCTAATTACCAAGTCACCTTCAGGATCTATGAGTAAAAAGGACACTGTTGGAGAGTTATCTATGCACATTTGGGATGTTTAATTTAGAAGAAGAGGGTTTTGTGGGTGATAAGGGCAGTGCCACTCAAAGTAATCTTTTGTAGTTCTGAGATGCTGATGTATCCA